TACTATCATTTTACACCTCAGAGTTACATTAAAAGAATGTGACTCTACTTAGAGTAAAATTAACTCTACTTTTGCAAGAAGACTACTAACACCAAAACATTTAATACTTTTGAATTTGCTGTGTAGAAACCACACATTAGGTAAGGAACATAGATGCACCTTTGATTTGTCATTAGCTTCAGTTTACTTCAGTTAATTCAGTCATGTACAGGGAGAAAAAACAGAACTAAGTAACACACACACACACACATCAAGTTAGCTCAGAATGAGTTATTTTTATTGAATCTATGTGTGACGTGTAAAGGACCAAAATAACACCTACACATTTTTGGTTTCTAATGCTAGAGATTTGCAACTGGCTTTGGGCTGTGCATGTCCTATGGGCTCAAATGTGGTCATAAATATTTTGTACTTGTAAATCAGTTTTGTATGTGTAAAAAAGATTTGTGTGCGTAAAAAAGCATTTTGAGCCCATACATGTCTCTCTCTTCCAGAAGATGACTGAATAAATAATTATAAATGTTTTGACCAACTGAGTCGTGTTCTCTCTATTCAGTGAAAGAATGACAAGAACCAGATTTAATACTTACTTATCGAGCTCCTATAATCCAACCAATTCCAGATACCAGCCACAAAAGGCTCCAGTGAACACTTCATGATGACTCAGCTAAAAGCCTGAAGGGAAAAAAAGATGCTTTTGAAAATATAAAATATGTTTAAATAACTCTTCTCTTGCCACTTTATCATCACCCTCTTTATTGCCTTAGGGTTTAACCATCGTCATTATCGATAAATTTGCATCTGTCCATTACCAGACATTTAATTTTCTACAAATCCACTCTTTCAAGATGCACCAGTTTTTCTTTTCAGTGTCTTTATCCTGATCAATACATAATATGTGTTAAAAGAGAAATATTATAAATAAAATAAATATTATATTATTATATTATAAATATGTTTTTTAATATTTGTAATTTTATTTTTAATTAAAAAAAAAATTTTTTTTCTTTGTTACAAAAACTGATTACGAAGTAAGTTTTCACTAATTCATCTAAACAAGGTATTTTGTAGACAGATAAGCAGCTGTGGCAGTTTGTCCTGAAACAACAAATAAAATTGCAACTTTTTTCTCAAAAGTATATATTTTTAATGTGACTCTAACGATCCAGTCCAATCAGCAACAGATCCGATAGACAAAAAAGGCGCATGAGAGTATAAAAACGAAAGTGAAACTAAAGAAATGCAACAACAACAACAACAACAATAGCAAGCCCTACACGCTCACACACACACACACACACACACGCAGAGTTTCCAGTTTGTGCCATTCTTTAGTGCAGCAGCGAGTCTCATTGTCAGGAAACCTTCACAATAACTGACTGAGTTATAAGAAAGACTTCAAAACTCTTATGGCGTGAAAGTAAGTCGCCGTCTATCTTCCTGCTTTATGTCGACTTTTGTCGGGCAGAGCGATGCGTGTTTTTTAAATCAGCCGACATCTTGTTTTACTGCAGTAACTGCGCACATAAGAAGGATCATCGCAGCAGCAGATTTCACAGTTTACAGCGACTCAGCGTAAACGAATTCAAACTGATTCTTTTTATAATTTACTATTTAGGAGCGACCATATGTCCACGTTTAACCCTGTAAACACTCCAGTAACGTTATAAAACCGAGTCAAATTCGCATTGTAAGTCTTTTACTTCCATTTTCCATTGACTTGCTTCATAGTATGATTGCAATAGATACTCTAACTTGTTTTTAATACCTGCTTCACCTTCACGCTGTCATTGATCATCCGTGTAAACAAAAGACCTTAACGGAGCAAGAGTTTCTGCATCTACATCCCGGGCAAATTTAGTGGCAAACACGCTCATCAATTTAGTTTGCACAGTTCTGATTGTACTCACAGCTCCAGTGCCGATAATAGATACAGGTCCAGGGGCGCACCACTTCACTTTACTCACCCACTGCTGCTGGTGATTTACTAGTAATCTAGATAATCTTAAATCTTACCTGACAGTGCAGTGATTACCAAAAAATATTAGATCTGTAAATAAAGAGTAACTTTATTGAATATTAACAAAGTATATTTAGGGTCTAGGAGGGGAAATAATGATGAGATCTTGCTGCCACCTACAGGCTGCCAGCTGTCACTGCAGCTCATCTCAGTTCAGGTTCAGGAAGAAGGATCTTTAACACTGGAATTGCCAATAAACTGTATGAAGTCTGTACAGCTGGATTTTTATCATTTACAAACTATTCTCTGTTTTTTTCATTTAGTTGTATTTCAGCTGCAGAAATGTCTGAGACAAGAAAGAGAAACCAAGCTGACTCCGCCCCTTCACTGTCCAAACAGCCAATCAGCTCCCGCAGTGGGCTGCTAGTCAGGTATGTCCGATCATAAATGAATAAACTCTACATTGGAAAACGGTTTTTAGTGCAGTGTGGTTACAGTTTATTATCTACACAGAGCTCTCTTTGCTTAATACTTAGAGATAGGTGACATATTAAAGGAAAAAAAGTGGCTATGTTATGCTGGCAGGATTTGGACCTCCTTAGAGGGAAGAGTCTATAAATCATTCATAGAATAGAATAGAATAGGATAGAACAGAATGCCTTTATTGTCACTATACAGTTGTACAATGAGATACAGAGCATCTCCTACTCAGTGTAAACATGGGGGGGGTTACAGTTCTGCAGCGCTATGTACATATGGACAGTATTAACATAGGGA